ACAATTCTTTAGTATAAGCTTTTAATAGCGTAGTTAAATGAAATTTGTGTCGTCAGTTATTAAATTAATCATTTTTATTCAATTTTAAAGGCAAATTACTCATAAAATAATTAATTAATTCGTAAAAAATTCATGCTCATTTATTATATACCAATATACTTATATGAAAGAGAGTTCAACTTGAATGCTCGATTTTTTCTTTTAAAAATATTTTTTTGCTAATATAGTTGCTAGAATTAGTGAAATTTTTTCAATTTGTATCAGTCGTAATAATTAAAATGAATGTGTCTAATTTGAAATGCATAATAATTTAATAAAAGAAATTCTTAGATGTATGTATGTAGTATCCAATTTGAATACAATATTATTACATATGAAATATATTTAATTCTTACATGATAAATAATATTGTTTAACTATATAATTATATACTCAATCAAATATATTTACAATGCAAAGTAATTAAATATGACTATATAGTTGTATACATAGTTTATTTTAGTATACCTATTTAAAACATGACAAGAACAACTTTTCTAACTTATATACGTACCTTGTTTTAAAATCAATTAAATAAAAAAGTTAATAATGTAAGTATTAAATCTCATGCAATAATTTAGATACAATCAAATTGAAATAAATTTATAATTTTCATTATATTATTTCGTTTGCAATGCACAAACAAGAATGAGAAGTAATTGCAATTTCGAATACATATTATGTAAGTAAATTTGACAGCATTGCCATTTGACAGAAATATTAAAGTCCATATTTTAAAAACTGATTTTAACATGAACATGTAGGAATGTTCGAAATAAATGAATGGTTTTAGAACACATTTTATTTTTGATTAAAAATTATTGTTTGTAGCCGCACGCGATCTAATATCAAAAAATTAAATTTGCAATTAACCTTCATCCTGAAAAATTATTAAGAAATTGTATGATACTTAGTCTTGGTTCATTTTATACATATAGTTTAATTTAACTGATTGAAAACTATTCTTAATTAAAATAATAACAATAAATTTTTACATTTAATATACCGATACTTATAAAAATATTTCTGAAAAGGATACGTATAGTAAACAGAAATTAACATTTAAAGAAACAATTGCCACAAAACAAACACACACACACTATTGCTTTTCCCTTAAAACATGTTGCATACATTTTTAATTCCTTAACTCTAATTTTACAATTTTAAACATTCCATTAAATTTATTAATATTTAATAATAATATCATTGAGCTTTTGTTTAACATTGACATGCAGATATTAAAAAACTTGTCATTTCTAAAAATGTGACACAAACATACTGCAGCAAATAAACAAATGAAATGATAATTTTTAATTTGTAACAATATGGGGAAATGAAAAAGAAATACACTTTCAACACATTTATATGACCTAAATTTATATTAAGGTTTCTATGGTATATTCTTTAAAATTGAAACAAAATATTTAAAGATTATTTGAACTGATAACAGTAATTATAAAAGAATTTTAATTATTATATCAGTTTCACTTAAAAATATAGTCAATTAATGTGATCGATGGGTTTGTGTATAAAAATAGCACATTTCCTTGTAACAATTTAAATATATAGAATGCACTTTATATGAATATACTACCTTTTAGTATGAATATACTACCTAAGTTTACATTCATATCTAAATATTAACCTGTTAAGAGATTATGTCGTATATATGCGTCAATTTCAAAAGTTCATTTTTTAGTTAATGTCGTATATGTGCGTCATGCCGAAAAAGAAAATTGCATTTACTATGAAATTTAAAGTTAAGCAAAAAACAGTTCGTGAATACGCGTCTTCGCTTTAAATTATTTCATCACAGTAAATCGAGCTGTCTAAGAAAAACTAATCGCTTAACAGGTTAAAAACATTCTATGAATTGTAGAGTATATGTTCTATGAATTCTAAAGTATCTATTACCATATTATATTGCATATGCTTAGGAGGAAGTTTAAAGAACAAGTTGTAATAGTAAAAAACGAAAGAGTAAATTTCATTGATAATTATTTCAATTGTGACATAATGTAAAAATATAACGTGATGCAAAGATGCGCTTCAAGATTTGTAAACTGTAAAACGAAAAAATTATGCTACTATGTAATTAAATAAAAGTGCACGGAATAAGGACGCAACTTCAAAGCGGCACTCTGAAATTATTTAATTCTCTAATTTTGAACTTGCTGCCTAGCAAAATGGAACACATAATTTTAGAGTAAAGTTGCAGTTGTTGTTCCACTCGAATATACTCGTTCTCTCTGACTGGAGAAGGTTACATTTTTGAATTAACATACAAAATTTTAATGAAATTTAAAGTTAAATTAAAGTTTTAAACAACATTATATACAAACTGTTAAAAAAATTTAGTTTCTTTGAATTAGAAATTAATTAAAAAAAACTGCTTCAAGGAAATAGTTATTGGTTTGTTTTAATAGTTTAAGATCCTGACATTTTTGTTTATGGTATTTTTAAGATAAAAGAAAAAATTCCCATTGTTTAGAGAACTAAAATCTAATGCTTTGGAGAGGGTTATATTTATAATGTAGATTAGTATTTATAATCGCCTATAATTTGTCAAATAAACAATTAATTAACAAAATTTCAAAGTAAAAAAAATTAATAATATTTAACCATTATACTAAATAAAATGTGTAATTAATTAACTTTTAAATAATTTTCTAATTACTTTAATTGTTTGTTTTGAGAAAATTTTTTAATTGTAAATATTTTATTAAACCTTTTTTTTTCTTTAAATTATTTAATCGCAAATGGGGTTTTTCCTGATGACTTCTACTTTTGATTTAAAAAATATTTTTTTTTTTAATTTATAGTTTTTTTATTTAAACATTACATTTCATTCTTAAGAAGCATGATGATATTGCGAAAACAAATTAATTTTATTTAATTAACCTGTATAATATTATAAATAAGAATTTTTACGAATTTAATTTCGAATAAGAATTGCGAATTCATATAAACACATCATATTTCATTTCGTATATCAATAGTAATAATGACGTCAATAAATCACATTTTTTATGTTCTATATATTAAAATACTTATATACATAAAGAAGTTTTTAATAAATTTTTGAATTAATTAAGGAAAAAAAAAATATAAAAAAGAAGCTCGAAAGATCTAAATGAAAAATATTAGAAAATAACAACAAAATATATAAAAAAAAAGAGAAAAATTACCACGATAATGACTATCCCATTAGAAGCACGCACCTCCCAACTGTATATTTACTTATAATAAAAATCGCATGACAAAAATTTCCTATTGTCACAATTCATAAAACAAAAGAAACCAGAATCATTCTCCTATTTAAGAACTCGTGCAAAATCGTTGCAGAATTTGTCAGAAGATATTTTTTTTTTTGCTAAACAATAGATGGAACATTCTTTAATATTGTTTAAAATAAAGTTGAGTCAAACCAATTGTAATTTTTCCTTCAACAAATGAAAATACTGCTAATATACAGTCTTTGAATACCTATCGCACTATTAAAATTATTTTCTTTCATAAACGAAACTATTTCTAGGATTGCATATATTTAGGATGAACGATTTATGCAGGAGTTAACATAATGCTCGATTTTAAGGGTTATTTGCGTGAGTTAAGAAAAATAATTATATTTTTTAATGTCATGGAATTTACCGTTAGCTTTTCGCGTTTATAGAAATTTGAAAAAGTTTGCGGTTTCGGAAATATAAGGTATCAAAAATTCAAATTTTACATATTTCAAGAGGCGATAACTCGAGAGGGGGTGGAGATGGAAAAAATTTTCTTCTAACGAAATAAAGTATTTATTAATGTCCAAAAGCTGCTAAAATTTCAGGCACCTACAACCTGGGGTCTAGAAGAAAAACGACATCAAAGATTTGTAAAAAACAGATTTTAGGTAACGGTAAATTTTAACAGCCATTTTGTTTTTTTAAAGTTTAACTATAGTATTAAATTTTTACACATTTTGCAAGAATTTTACCAATGTTAATTTAAAAATTTTAAACTAAAAAAGAAAGTTTTACCATGAAATTAACATGACAATTAATGGATGCATAAAAACTTCGTTCCGGTACTAAAACGATACACGGATTTTGTAAGAAATAAGAGTTAATTAATAAGAGAATGAAATGACGCTTCCATTGCTACCACAATGCAGTAGGCCATAAGAAACATATCGGCATCTCCTCTCGACACATTCTTCCTCGTTCGAAGAAATTCAGTTGACAACCCACGGAGGCCCCGAGAGCCTTTCCAATCTATCGAAACGGTACTGGAAGCAAAAAGCGTCTCCTACTCAGTATCAAATCTAACAGATCTCTGATAGTATAGTCTCCTTGCCATCTTTCAAATATACTGAGATGTTTTATGATAGTACCTAAACCTTCAGTTCTTGCTTTGTCGCTTTTCGGTCACTGAACTCTCCTTATTCCATAAACTTCCACGCAATAAAAAGTCTTCCCTCCTTTGTTTTTCCCTATCTATGATGTTTCTAAACTCCGTCCTTCATATATGGAGGAAAAATCAATGGTCCTAATAGTTCGTAACGTTAATTTCAATTTTATATAGTACAATTAATTAACATTAAATAATCCTTTAAAAAACTAAATTGTGCTGAAATTAATGTGAATGACTTTAGATATAACTCTTGCATAAATGTACATATAAATGTAGGACTTTCACATTAATGTATGTCCACATTTTATGAGCAGCACTAAATTTTCTAGATGTTGCACCCTCCAAAATTCTTTAATTTCTTCAATTTCCTTAATTAAATTCTAGCTATTTTTGGGCAATTGATTTTGTTATCATATCTTCACTTGTTTACTTAAAACTGTTAAATAATATTTGTTCGGTGTATAATAGATCTTGACTTTTCAAATCTTTTTTATAATAAAATGTTTTAAGTTTTTTTTTAACTACATTAAATAACAATTTCATTTCTAATTATTAATTTATTACAGGCAATTGGACATGTTAGCGGATGTCACATTAATCCAGCTGTAACAATTAGCTTTATGATAATTGGAGAAATGAGCTTATTAAAAGGAGCATTTTATATGTGTGTGCAATGTATTGGTGCAATTGCTGGTGCTGCTGTTCTTAAGGTACTTTAGCGTATTTTTTATATAATTTAATAGAAATTTTTTATATTTTATAATCTTATAGGTTGCGATTCCAGATGAAATAGCACCTGCAAATATGGGAATAACTGGTCTTTCAAAAAATTTAACTAGTGGTCAAGGTGTTCTTATTGAAATCTTAATCACTTTCATATTAGTATTTGTTGTACAAGGTGTTTCTGATGGAAGACGAAATGATTTAAAAGGATCGATTCCATTAGCAGTGGGATTATCTATAACAGCGGGACATTTGGCAGCCGTACGTTTTATTAATTTTAATTTTGTTTTCATTTAGTAGCTTAAATAACTTATATATTCTTTGATAATTCTAGTTTTAAAAATAATTGCAAATATTGTAAATTTAATAAGGTTTTATTCTTGCACATTTCTATAATTCAATGTAGAGAGCATTTTCCAAAAAAAAATTTATAAAACTTTTCCGATTGCAGTCATATATTTTCAATTCATGACTTTATAGATTAATTTTTAAAATTAATTATTGATTTATATTTTATACATAAAACTAGGTTCCATTTACTGGAGCAAGTATGAATCCAGCCAGATCATTTGGACCTGCAGTTGTAATGAGCAATTGGCCAGAACAATGGGTAAGTAACTTAATATAATTATATTTGAATTATACTGAATTAAAAAAATTTAGAATTACCGTAGAGAAATCTATTACTTATTTATTATAATATGCCTTAAATTCAGAATTAATGAAATCTTAACTATAAATTGAATACAGAGAATACCTAAATGTTATAGAATATAGATACAATAGCTATTCTAGATCTCAAAATGATAAAATCAACTAATTCTATTGCATCATTTTCTAATTCTTAATATATGCAAAATTATGCATTTATTGGAAAACAGTTAAAGAAAAAGTATTACATATTTTAATAATTAATTAATTATTTTATTATTTTTAAAACAAATTCTTTTTATATTATTTTATTGCACATTCGGCAAAATACTACAATATTTCATTAAATACTTTTATTTAAATTGTTTTCCTCTAGAAAAATATGTGGTAATTATTCTAATAGCAAGCTCACTTTAAAATAATTTTTATAAAATATTAATTTAATATTAATTAAATCTTACTTATTTTATTCAATTTCATTCACGATTTTTTTTCTTCTTAAATAAATTCTTCAACTTCCTAACTCTAAGTCAATATAATCAATTTGGAAAATATACCAAAATAATGCTGATGAAATGATATTAAGAAAGTAGGTGTATAAAATACCAAGTAGAGTGAAATGTCTCTTCAAAAACTGTTCGTTTATAAGCTTGTATCTATTTCGGGACGAAATCTTTTAAGTTAAAAGACTTGGGCAAGCACAAATTTCATGAAAATTCACTATCCAAACAAATTTTACCAATTTTTAATACACTAAGTACTGAGGATATATGTATGTTAAAGCACTTATTCCTGAATCATCCTGCGTATACAAAAAACAATTATAACGTTACAATTTAAGTCAAATTTCACTTAAAACGAAAACAAGCAATAAACAATAAAAGAACAGTAAACAAGCGATTTAAGCAACATACAAAATTATTTTTTATTATGTTCTAACTGTATATGAGAAAGAATAATTAAAGCTCTAACAAAATCCCGATAATATTCTAACTTTCCTAACTCTAAGAAATAAGTTTGAAATGTAATTTTCATTATTTATCAAGTATAATATGCTATGACCTACGTTTTCTTTGAGCACAAAATATTATTTTATTGAATATTATCAGCCCTATCATGAATTTCGTTCGTAGCTCTGAAATTAGGAAAATTACGAATATCATACAATTATCTATTACGAATTACTAAAATTCTGCTCCGAATGTTCATAATGGAGTAATCATAAATTACGTTCGTAGTAAAAATTACCCTCAAAAGTCTACGATATAAAAAGAATCACTCGTACGAGTAACAAACAATTTAAAGAGAATAGTCGTATTAAATTTCCAAATTTTGAATTTTTATACCCGTACGAACGTATGTTCGAAAGGTACACTAATAAATTTGCCTTACCATTTGTAACGCTAAGAAATAACGGTCTTAGATATAGACTCAAGTGTACGTTTTTGATCAGCGTCTGAGTTGATTTAGCTTTGTCTGTCCGTCCCAGCGATAACTCAAAAACGAATTGAGCTAAATTCACCAAATTTTCACAAATGATTTATTGTAGTAACTGCCACAACCCTATTTAAATTGGCATGATCGGGGTACCGGTTCGTGTAGACGCAATGCAACTTCAAAATTTATTTGGCTTTATATATATAGGGCCGATGTGTTTGATAAAATTCGTCAAAATTTTTTGGCTCTTTCTGGTAGCTGCCATACAAATTCAATAGTAGTTTGGCACACACAGTATTTTAAAAAACACAGTATTGAAATTTTGCATAAACTTATATGGTAATACGGCAACTTAAAGTAATAGTCTGTCACTTAGTCAGTTATGGCATATTTATTCGCACGTAGGATAACAAATTCGTACGGGTATCAAAGAGTTGACAAGATCAACTCTATTTTTTCTTGTTTTGTTTGAATTTGAGTTACTCTAACACAGCACAGCTACCACTAAAGGAAATGAATTCATATTAACAAAAAAAAATTTTTTGTCGACTTTTCAAAAATATTCAAAACTAAGCAAATTGCAAAAATTCCATACAAAAGTGTATTTTATAAAAAAAATATTCTTTTACCTGAATGAATTAAACAATATATTTTTGTATGAAAGTTGTTTCACTGAAATAGAAACCTAAAAATATAAAATTGAAAGTTGAAATAATAACCAATTTTTACATTCCGAAAAAATTATACTATGCCATTGGTGGTTAATAATCTCTACGAAAGGAATTTGTGATCATTCAAAAGTCTACCTCATAGTTATGTTCGTAATTCGTAAAACTCTACGAGTGGAGATCATGATAGACCTTTATGTAATATTGTTCATCTTTTTCCATTTTAAGATTTCCTCATCGATACGTCATATGGAAAATTTGAAACGTTGACATTACATTTTTATAATTTTTACGACTTAAAATTAAACGTGATATTGTACTAAAATTATAAAAATTTCAGTGTAGAATTTTATAAAATTTAACAAATCGTAATCATAATTAAATTACAAATTTAATAATTAAATTTTATTAATTTTCATTTTAGATTTATTGGGTTGGACCAATGGTTGGTGGTTGTTTAGCCGGTCTTCTATATCGATTTATATTTAAAGTACGAAAAGGAGATGATGAAGCATCTTCATATGATTTTTAAATTTAAAATATATATATATATATTTGAGTTTCATATATGTATAAATTAATGTATATATATAAAAATGTTAAAATTTATAAAAATTAAAAAAAAAAAAATGTTATTATTATTATACAAAAATTTTTTTCGTTCGATATTTATTTTTTTTTATGTAAAACATAAATTTTTCCTCTTCTAAAATTTTTTATTACTATACACATTATATATACGAGTATGTACGTATATGTATGAATGCATATGATATAGAAAATGAGAAGGAATATTAAAAAATAATTCTTATTAAATATAAATTTATATTTAAATAAAGTATATATGTATGTATATACATATAAATCTAAAAATTATTTTAAATTAAAGGATTGTTTTAAATTTATTAATAATGTATAATATTAACCTTAAATATTTTAACAAAAAAATATAATACAAATTAAAAATTTTAAATTGTATTTTGAGAATAGCACAAAAAAAAAACAAAGCACGCTAAATAAATTTATTCATTTTTTTCACATTTTATTGTTGTTATAGTCTTTATCTCCATTTTCATCAAATTTTTTAAATATTTTTTTATTAATTTTGTGTATTAAAAATGTCCTTTTATATAAAATATAAAAATTTCATTTTTAATTTCATTATTGAAATTACAAATACACACAATTATTATAAAATAATTAACAATATTAAAAAAAAAAATTATAAGAAAAATTTACAAACAGAAAAAAAAAAGCAAATGCACTTAACTTTAAAATTTAATTATAAGATTAATATTATTATTATATAAAAAGAAATTAATTTCTATTTAAAAAAGAGAAAAAAAAAAACCATTTTTACTTTTTATGTATTTTTGGCTTAATGTAAAAATTTTGTTTTTAAGGTATTATGAATAATATGAATCTATTGGTTCAAAGAGAAAAAAAAAAATAAATAACTAACAAGTCTTTTTAATTATAGTTTCTAATTTCCTTTAGCATTACAATTTTAGACACTCCAACATGAAATTTGTTTTAAAGTAATCTTATAGTGAGATAAAGAAGTAGCTCAACTGAACGTGTACACAGTTACTTGCATTAAACTCGAATATAAAATATTTAAATTCAAACTGACTAAAAACTAGAAAATATAGGTCGCTTATTATAAATGATCAAAAAATAAAACTTACTTTTTGAAGGAAAGAAAATTTACTTACCAGAACATACGTATAGCGTTCCGTGCCGATATATATTCACAGCGATTCATTTTATACAATACAGCAATCCCTCCCGTATAACGTAACCTCTTACTACATAATTTCGATATAATGGCCCTTATGATGATCGGCGAAGCAAATGAAATTTTTCACGAATATGAATTTTTGGTATTATGGTTAGCGAATTCGTCTAAATTTTAGGCGAATGTGCTGTCAAATTTGTCAAATGAAAATTCCGTGTGATGGCGAATGAATAACAAAAAATGAAATTAATAAATAAGTATTTTTTTTTTGGACATTATAGCATTTACTGTGATATTATGGAAAAATCTAAACTATATGTAAAGTATAAGTTCATAAAATTCTACAAATTATTGTTAAAAAATATTGATTGTTTGACATTAATTTAAGCGTGAAAAAAAACGAACCAAAAACAAATCGAGCATTTAAATAAATTAATGGACAACAACCCCGTTATTGCTAAAGTATAGAAAAATTCAAATGTTTTTGAAGTTTTCTGATGTTTTGCGGTAGCAGTATTTCGGATATAGAGCACAGTAAAGTGATTCTTGAAAATTCAAAATTAACTTAAATTTTAATATAAAGCATGTTCGATAAATATTTTTTTTAAAAGATAAAGCACGTTCGAAAATCGTAGCTGCAAAAATAATTCCAAATTTAAAAGAAATCACAAGAAATTTTTAAGAAATTAAAAATCTGGAAAAATAAACTAGGTAATTCCGGTAGATTTGTAATCATGCAAAGAAAAGATTTTTGAGATTTAAGCTAGAACTTTAAGCACAGATCTGAATTAGGAATAATTCTCTGTATAGTAATTATACTCTGTATAGTTAAAATTAGTAATTAGTAACTTACCCAAACATTATGCAATAGTTTTTTGCAATCTCCTACGTTATCCCTTAAACTAAATGAAATGTAATTTAAGGGATACCAGTAATTACGTTAAGAGGAAGATGGCTGTACTGTATTTACAACATATTTAGATAGTTTCCAATAATTTTGTTTCGATAAAGTAGATAGGTCGTTCATAAGATTGATATTTTTTAGCTCCAAGCAATTTATTTTCGCTTCTCACTTGTAAATATACTTTTAAATTTTGCAAACAAACTAACCAACTTAACCATATTAAATTAAAACCGGCATAAATTTATACAACCCGTTTAATATGAGTTGAAAGTTTCTATTATGTTTTTATTCGAATAGTTACATACATACATACAATTTATTAACAAAATTATCATTATTATCATTTTCATGAAAAGTCAAAATTTTCAATTTGTTTTTTTTTTATCACATTAACGTTTTCCACATTGTTTTGTAAAATCTAAAAATAGGAATCACTCTCAATTTTCTTAGAGAATTTTTCTTTTAATATTCTATAGAAAAAACACATTTTCTTTAGAATTTCTCAGTTTTATATTTGACACTGAGTAAAGTAGATCGCATTTTTAATACAAACAACAATTATTTTACTATTATAGTAAAACGGAATTTGATTTTTTTTTCTCTAAAGTGACTCCATTTTATTTTTTTTTTTTCTATATAAGATTTTCATTATGAAATTAACTGAAAAACCTGGTTTTTTCCCAGAATATTATCAAAATATTAAAAATGTTGTAGATGATGAAATTATTAAGAAATTCTCAATTTTTGAAAATGATTTTGAACGTGTTAGTTATATAGAGAATTTGAAAAATGTACGAGATAATGACTTAAAACTTCAAAGAACCTTTCATGGGAAAAATCTCTCTCAATCAATGGATTACAAAGAAAAGGGAAATTTAGCTTTTAAAAACCAAAGATGGATTGAGGCATTAACACTATATTCGAAAAGTTTAATAGTCGCACCCAAAGAAGATAGTATGTGCTCGTTCAAATTACATGATTTTTTTTTTATTAATTTTTTTTTTATTTTAGAAAATCATTTAGCAATATTATTTGCTAACAGATCAGCATCTCTATTTCATATGGAAAGATATGATGAAACATTATTAGATATACACAGATCAGTTGAATTAGGTTATCCTCGAGACATGATACACAAAATACTTGAAAGGGAAGCTCAGTGTTATTTATCGAAAAAGAATTTCCTTAACGCTATGACTTCATTTAAGTAAGTGATTGAACAATTAAAAAAATATTCAAACACATTAGTTACATAGAATTATAATTTCTTACATGACCTTTTATTGGCAGAGATTTTTCTTATATACACATATGTATAATATGTATACACGTACTTATAGACCTAAAATTTTTAGAAGGATTACTAACTAAAACTTAACTATCTACATATAAATTTTATTTTTAACACAGGAAAACAATTTCTGCTCTAGATGATTCAAAGCTATCTCTTGAAAAACGACAAAAAATTGAAAAAGACTGCTTGATTATGATTAAAATGTTGGAAAAAGATCCAAATTCTAAATCTATGGCTGAAAAATTAAATAAACTTAAAATTACTAGCTCAAAGGAAACTGTGAACGAAGAATACATTAGCGATGCAATTAAGGTTGACTTTTCACCAGAAGAAGGTCGTTTCATAAGAGCAGCAAGAAATGTTGAAGTTGGAGATGAAATTTTAATTGAAAATCCTAACGTTTGTGCACTTTTAGAAAAATTTTGTCAAAGTCATTGCCAAAATTGCTTTTTACGGTAAATAAAATTAAAATGTAAAATAATTTCTTTTGTTTTTTAGCATATAAAATCACGAAATTAACTAAAACCTTAATCATAACGTTAAAGTGTTTTAGACATTTATATTATGAACAAACATTTATTAAATAAAATTTTGTTATAGGACTGTTACACCGATCCCATGCAATAATTGCACTGATATAATATTTTGCTCTGAAAAATGCTTAAAAGACGCGACTTACCATGAATATGAATGCGGAATATTGCCAACATTTTGGAAATCAGGCGCATCAATTAATTGTCATTTAGCGCTACGTATTATAGCATGCAAACCTTTAGAATATTTTAAAAAAATAAAATCTGAGATAGACATTGATTTGGACTTTGAACATTTGAAAAAGTTCGTACATATCTCTATTTAACACTATTTTTTAACATAATTAATGATATTCATTTTTTTAGATTGCCAACGAATGATTATCGTCGAATATGTAATTTAGTTCGTCATGAACGTAAACGAAATCCTTCGGGTTTTTTCCAGTATACTCTCATGGCTAGGTTTTTAAGTCAATTATTACATGTTTCTGATTATTTTGGAGCAAACCCTTCTAAAGATGATGTTTTGTATATAACCAGTTTAATATTAAGAAATTTACAATTTCTTCAGTTTAATACTCACGAAATATCTGAACTGCATCAAGCAACAAAAATGAATGCCTCAGCTAAAACGGTTTTTATTGGTGGTGGAATATACCCCACCTTAGCACTGTTCAATCATTCTTGTGATCCAGGAATAGTGAGGTAATATTTTGTCTATTATTCAAGAAACTAAAATTGTAAGATGTTAAATTATTACATATTATGTTAGATATTTCAAAGGTACAAAAATTTATGTAAATGCTATCAAAGACGTTGAATCTGGTTTACAAATATCAGAAAATTATGGTCCCCTTTATGCACAAGAATGCAGGGAAGACCGTCAAGTAAAATTAATTGATTTGTATTGGTTTGATTGTCAATGTGACGCTTGCCTCGAAAATTGGCCAAAATATGAAGATATGAAGAATGATGTAATTAGATTTAGGTGTGATGCTGACATCAAATGCAACGGTATAATCGAAGTCCCACCAGATGTTAATGAATTTATGATTAAATGTCAGAAATGCGGTCAGTTAACTAATATTTTGAAAGGCTTAAAAGTTATGCAGGTAAGAAAAAAATTAAATTTGTCGTGAATAAGTTGAAATTTGTTGTCGCTATATGCTTACCATTTATCCCAAAGCTAACCATTGTATAATTGAATAATATTAAATTTTTCTTTTTAATATTATTATGTAATTTTAAACTTTCATTTAAGGACACGGAACAAATAACGAAAATTGCTAAAAGACTTTATGATGCTGGTGATTATTGCAAAGCTTTACAGAAAAACATTGACTTGCTTAAAATGATGAACAAAGTACTTGCTCCACCTTTTACTGATTATCTTCAAGTGCAGCAAAGTATACGAGATTGCTACTTAAATTTGGGAAATGCATACGCTCTAAATTAAAAACTGCAATATTGACTTTGCTGTTATGAAACTAGTTTAAAAAACTTTTTTAATAAAATTTTGATTGTTAATGAAATAAATATTTATTTATAATACAAATTTCAAATAAAAAAAACTTTTTACTTACAAGAATATTGTGTCAAGTAAAGCAGTAAATTTTATATGAAATGGTAGAGATGCATTGCAAAAATTTCGTTATTCTTAGTAAATAGTAATAAGAACAAAAGTCTATCTTGAGTTAATCTTTTTGAAAGTAAATTAATTGAGCAATGTCTAAGTCTCAACTTGTAAGCCTCAACCAATATACTTCCTTAAAGCATGCGCTTTCGTTTTGATTTTAAATTTCTGAATTTTAATATTTACCGCGAATGTGGATCATATAGAACTATTATCACTATCCAAACTCTCTTTATTACGAGTATTATTAACTAATTTTTGAATACTTTGCACCTCAACTTTATAAAAAAAAAATTAATTATTGTATGCAAAAAACTTTTACAGGGTCTAAAAATAAAGAATAATTGAATAAATTAATTTGCGAAAAGTATATTTGCGTAAAATTCGTAATAATATACAACAAAATTAGGATAATCGAACTTATATAAATTATGCAATTAGACCACTATTTTCTTGAAGGCTTTTTGGCTAACCTAAAATAAATTATAACTAGACATGGAAAAATATTTCATTTATTAAAAAGTTACCTCTCTTTTCTTTTTTCTCGATAAGCTAAAAATTCTTTTCGTGTTGCAGTTGATCTTACTTCCAATATAAAATTCATTTTATTCAGTATCTGTTGGGCAGTGATTTGATCAGTTTCAAAATCATAGTACTTAAAACTACTTGAAGACGATATTGATGGTATATTAGGATTGAAATGCTGTGGACTAGATGAAGAAGATGTTAAAGATGTATTTGTTCCACCAGTTACACCTGTTACATTAGAAAAACCTAGCTGTCCAAAAGGATGACCCTTTAATATCGAACCTGATTCACCAAAATGAAATGACGAACTTTGTGGAAATGGGTTTAAATACCAAATCCTTAAAACTGCTTTGTTAGTTTTTTTCGTTAGAATTTCACAAAAACCAATTGATTCGATATTATGCGAAATCGCTTTTTGTTTACTCCAAAATTTGTTATTCGATGAAACAGGATATATTTCCAGTCTCTCACCTGAAATCCCTAACTGAACTTCTGATTTAAAAAATCCTTTACCTACTATATTTAAATGGTAGCTACTGTAAACTGGAGCCTCAATCATTAAATTATGACCAAGCATTCGTTCCATATCTTGAGCCAAATTATCATTGCTGTCTTTTGCTTCATCTAAAGCTCTTTCTCGGGCAGTGTCGGTGTCTGAATTAAGTGAAAACGATCTATAATCTACACGATTTGTAGTGTTCGTAGGTCGACGTTCAGCTAATGTTAAATATTGAAATTCATATTTTTGGCATAGGGCCTTCATATCTAACGGGGGGAATTCTGACAACATTTCACCATTGTCCTCAGTAATATACAAACCATAATGACGTATGCTTTGCAATTGAATTTCAGGATACTTCACCGTTAATTTATAACAAATAAATCCAATAACTTCTTCTATTTTTGCTTGCGCGATTACGCAGATTTTCATAGGAACAGTCAGTTGTGGCTCACTAATTATATTTAAAAATATATTTAAGTGTGCAACTCCAGCTTGAGATTCTCCATCAAAACGGGCATATTGAATAAATTTATTTTGAGGCAATTTTGGTCCGTGAAGTATTTGCTCGGAAAGTAAACTTTTCACTGTTTTACGAGAATCTGAACTTGATGCAACTTCTTTGCGTTGGAAAAAATCAGAAATTTTCAAAGATGCTGGATCATTAGATTGCAGAACTGCAGAATCGTCAATTTTTATATTTCTAAAATTGCATAAAATATTTTAAAAAATTGTTGCAGTAAGCCAGTTAAATTCTAGAAAGTTTTTAAAAGACTATAATTTCAAGTTTCTTGTTAATGAAAAAATCATTAAAATATATTGCGTATTTGTAGATAACTACGCTAGAGTAAAGTTAAATATCTTCACTCATCATACTTGCAAATCTTACTTTGTTTTTGCTGCTTTTTGTCTTGCTCTGTTCATTCTATCTAATTTCTGTGTTGTATTGGATCTAAACCTATGAACTCCAACATCATCTGGACACATATGAATTTCATAAGACTGTGCCGCTGCGTCTAAATCTTCATCATCACTTTGATCTAAGCCAGGGTAACATAGACAGGTGTTGTTAGAATTTTTTGAAAGAAAGTGCTTTGGTAAGTCGTCGCTCGTCATAACTGTTTCACACTAGAAGGAATTCATACTTTAAACAAATATTTTTCTTCGACCTAAATAGAGAGAAAAGTGTCTAGGTTTATACTCTACCACTTCTGTGTCATCGGTCGATATAAATGAATTTCTGATATGACATAGAAGCCAATGTTGATTATTATACGTTGCCATTTCAACATTTGGTTAACAAATTTAAAAATTGAGTCAATAACGAATCGATAACAATTATTTATAAAAAGTCAAAGCTTTAAACACACAACAATTTGAATTATTGTATACAGTATATAATTACGATTTTATTACAACTGTTGTCTGTCATTTTGTCGTGAGCTACGACAAATTTTTATAAACAAAAACAACACTGGTTTGTCACATCAATCAAACAAGTTACAAAGCAGGGATGTCACTACAAATTTTGTAACGAAATCTCTTTTGGTATACTCTCAATTTTTTTCTTATTTAATAACGATCTTCACGTAACCATGCAAATTAGCCTCATTTGAGCATCGTAGCATTTGTGCAAATTCTTGACATATAACATTGACATTTGTGCAAAACTTGACATATGTTGTTTCACATTCACCGATATTTTTTTTCTAAACTAAAATATACTGAACCTGAAAGCATAATTCAAAAATTTGTTCACGTATACATTTGTTTTGACATTTCAATTGATATTAGTTGACATTTCCTCAGTAAACATTCTTGTAAAGGAACAACCAAACATTTATTTTAGCCAGTCCACACTGCAGTTATCTATAATTTTGCGTACTTTGCAATTTACATTACGCCTTTAACATAAGAGAGTCCCCTTTCATTGCACTAGTCATTCATATAAGAGAATCCATTCACATAACAAATAACGTTCAAGGTACATGCGTGAAGATTTTAATTATTTTTTTGTCAAGTTTTTGTGATCAATATTTTTTGTAAATCGCATTGGCATGAGTTTATTTATGTTTAATTTGTAATTTTTTTTTAAATTAAAAAAACTATAAGATTTTTCTATTTCTAATTTGTTTCGCGACAAATAAAAATTTTTATGTATGTACATGCAATTGTTAGGCAAATTAAAAAGAAAGGTTTAGAAATTTTTGCAAATGTAATAAGAGGACGTTCTCATTTATTCATTTCCAAATGTTGAATAATATTCTAAATATGTGCATACGTCAAAATATGTTTTTTGTTCAAAAATTTCTGTTTTTTAGTATACATATATATTCTAGAATGTATGTACATATTATAAGAGCTTTCTGGTTTGTTTAAATCATATTGGAAAATTCTGAAAGCATTCTTTTTATTCCATTTCGAAGGTAGAATAAAAGGTCAAGCAGAATTATACAGATAAAAATGTCAAAAGTTTTATTTTAAACCCTTTTCACAAACTCAAATTATCGAAGCACAAAATTTAGTTAAACTTCATTGCTACGTTTAATTGTTTACGTGCAGCGCAAACTGAATTTTCTTCCGAATTACAAACACGTGACAAATTAATTTTTGACATTCAATGCAAATTTAAATTGAACCCAGCATGCGATAATCGAAATCAGCGTATTACGACAAACCGAAGATTTATCCATGAATGGAACAAATTTGTTTTAATAACCGCATACTGCGACTATTTGGATATAGCATTAAGGATTCGAAATAACCGTAACTAATGAAAGTATAATTACAAAAGTTTTGCAAAATATAATAAAAGAACACTGATTATATATGACGTAGGTATGCCGATCGGGATAATATTAGTTTCTTCAAAGACACTTTAGTTTCAAATAAAGCACCTAAAAATTTTTTTTTGGTTAGAGAATAAAAAAAAATTTTCATTCACATTCTGGATATAAAAGTTGAATTTAAGCACTTTTTTTATGTTGTTCGAAAAGATTATGTTATTGGTTACAGTATGAATAAGATATGGAGCGTTTACATTGCAAGTTTTTGACAAAAAAGGGTTAATATTAATACTAAATATCCTTGAGCTTTCACGATGCCAAATTATTGGCTATAATGACATCAACGTATAACTAGTTTTATTTCCAAAATATCAAACAATATCAAAGGGAAAAGGAAACTTTACTTATTTTTTTCATAAAAATTTTATATTTTTCATTGCTTTGTTTTTCATTTATTTTTTAATTTTTCAATATGTCAATAAAACACTGTCAGTTTTTTTATTATTATTTGTGCCAAAAGTTATATGTCTTGTCGAGATCTTTCCAATACACCGGATTTGTCTGTCGACTTTTATTTTTAGACTAAAAGATCAGATTCAAAGAACTCGAAAAATTTTCCAATTTTTTTTTTTGGAATCCATCGCTGAATTTTTTTAAACCACTTATATTTAATTATTCAATTTGTGTTCTTCTACCAAAACCTTAATGGACGTTTCAAAAATTAAAAGTATTCCAAGCATAAGCATTGTGCCAATGCACTGTCTCTGAAATTTTAAAACGGTAGCATTCAACGATGTAGATAGAGTCATTATTGTTTATTCAATTAATATCAATAAGCACAGTTGACACCTGCCTTTTTTAAAATGTCACATGATTATCAAATTCTGTCATCATTTTGAAAACTCTACCATGAATTTTTCGCAATATTCGTGAATTCTATTTTGCAATCACTACTGGCAGCACTTTTAAAAAAATCATTTCCATTAATATTGCGGCATAGTTTTAATCGTGTTTGTGTTTTAAAAATATTTCATTCAAAAAGAGCGGTGGTAATTATTTTTCAAAATCAGATGAAAACGCTGATAATAACTTAAGGTACGCGTTCTTTTTTAATTTCTGTGTTAAAAAATTATTTGAACTTTTTATTTTTAGTGAAAATTTTTTTGACTTGACAAACGCAACTTTCAATTGCTATACCAAATTACATTTGAATTTTAAATTAACAAATTACTTTTTGCAAAAGTGACTAATTTCAAGAATCGAAGGATTAGAATCATGTAATGACAGAATCAATTCTACAATCGCCGTTCGTTTGCAAAAGTCATTTAATTGTCACATTATGACATTTCTAAAAAGGCCATTACAGCTTTTAACAGTAATTATAAGGTTTGTCTGGTATAAAACTAAATAAAACTTTAAAAACAGAAAACAATAATGACATGATTTCACGCTAGAAGAAAAAAAATTCTCTTTTGAAAAAAAAATTAACCAGACAGAAAATTTGAAAAAACTTTATGAATAGGTGATAAGCTTCAAATTTCAAAATATTTATTAAACATGATCAAATATTTTTTGGTTATACAAAAAACGGATAATTTTAATTTGGAATTAAAAAAAAATAAAATTAGGAAAAAACATTTGTAAAACCATTTTGTTGATCATACCCGTACGAACGTATGTTTGAAGGGTTTGAAGGTACTAATATTTAATCGTGATTGTTGATTTACCGCAAATTCTTTAACGTCAAAATTTTGTTTTCAGTCTGCAAACTGTCTGACGTATAAAACTTTTACGGACAGAAATGTACTAAACTTTTTACCCGTAGTTGACTTTGAATTTTGATCATTCGTAAACGTCAAAACAAAAAAAAAATTTTTTTTAGATCTAAAATAATTTTATACTTACATGTTAAAAATTAACAAAAAAAAATAGTTTTTATATTATTTTTAACGTAATGATAGTCCACTCAATACATCAAATTTATTTATGCATGTAAAAAAAAAAAATTTACAATTTTGACGCTTAATTGACTTTTTTTAAACGTTAAAGAATTTAAGCTTTGACTGAAAGTAAAAGCGCAGTAGAGTATTCGTAACCTCAGCCAACTCAGATTTTGTAAAATTTGACGTTTAAGAATTTACCATTATTTTTAAAAAATGTTATTTGCTGGCTTTTTTAAGCAGGTTTCCAAATTTTAAAGAAGAAGCTAAGTGTTATAGAAAATGAAAATGCATTCGCTGTACATATTTTTTAAAATTTGTCCGTTTTCATTTTTAATTTTTTCATTTTTCCGCCTTTATCGCATAGTTCAACAACTACAGAACATAAATATGTTTTTTCTTTCATTAACTTAAGGAAAGAAAAAAGTTTTAATAAAAGTTTTATGTGCTTTCTTAAGGAATTTACTATAAATAACAAAACTCATATTGTGGGATAAAGCAAATTTGTATTTTGTACAAATTAATCAATATTAATTATTGGTTAATTTGTACAAAATAAGACGACTTAGTATAATAATGCTATTTTAAGAGGTTGGATACATTTTGCATACATTTTTTTCTCGAAATTGGATACATTTTGTTCTTTTCGAGTTTAGTATGCATCTATGTATGTATTATTTTTATGTTCACCACTGTAAGAAAGTTAGTATGAAGTGTCATATTATCAAAATCGTATTGTCAAAAGCCCTCTCTGGAATATTATGGGTTTAATTAAAAATAGATAAACACAAAACAATAAATTAATTGTTATATTATAATTTTTTAAAAACATAATGGAAGTTAATATGGATATCAATGATAATATAACTGGAATACAAGGTATACAATAAGTAAACATTTGAAGTATTTTACAAAAAGATCTGTTTTTAATGTTTTAGATGAATGCGAATATCTTTGTAATGAGATCGATGATGTAGTTATAGATAACATAATTAGTTCATATAGTGATGATTTTTATTCAATGCAGCAATATAACTCGCCGACACACGACACTCAAGCAGTTCAAAATGTTAACCAAACTAATATAACGTATGACTTCAATCCAGATGAGTTTTTAAATTTTTTGCCAGAAATACAAACCACAAATGAAGTTAATCGGACAACACCTTCACCAACAAATAGTTCATCTGCAGCTTCCTCAATTAGTGATTCTACATTCCCTTGTGAAAAACTTGAACAAAATTTATGCAACAATATATTCGACACTCCACCCATTTCACCAGAAAATGAAAAGGTTAATAGTCCTAAAAACTATATGCAGTGCAATAACTTGTTTTTTAATGAAAAAAAATCTCAGTTGAAAAAATTTGAAAATGCTACAACTGGAAATCCTGCAATCGGAGATATTAAATGTACGAAACCTGTCGGAAAGTTAACAAAAATATGTTTTAAAAAACCCAACAAACTTAAAACAAACAATGAAAAAACTAAAATGATTTTATTGCCAGCCAAAGACTTCACAAATTTTGTGAAAAAATGTAAAAATGATAATGAGGAGAGTAGTTTTCCTAGAGTTATAATAAAATCCTCTGACTTTGCAAAAAATCTCTTAACTAACACGGTTGAAATTTCGAGTAAGAATAAATTTTCAAACAGTATACAATCAAATCCACATATAATACAACACATTCCGGCATATGAAAATTGTTCATCTGTTACACCAACTGCATCTATATTGCAAAAGAAAATAGTTCCAATACTTCCAGCTAATATGCAAAATCAAATATTTTGCTTAAATGATAGTAAATCTTCAGTAAATGAAGAGCAATTGAAAAGATATGAAAGAATGATAAAAAATCGCAAATCTGCTTCTTTATCAAGGATGAAAAAGAAAATGTATGTTTGCACACTAGAAAACAAGGTTAAAGAATTAGGAAAAGAGAATTGTAATCTAAAGACGGTAAGCTTTTAAATTAAAAAATGGTTTAAAACATAGTAAATAAATTTTTGTTTATTTTAGGAAAATACTGTACTTAGAAGTCAACTTGAAACATATAAGAGCCAGTGTCGATGTTCCAATAATCTTAAGAAAACTTACAACTTTATTGATTTAAGCGACATAAATGTATTTAACAAAAGACCAACAAAACATATTACGAACATTAATAAGATATTGTTTAATTCACCAAAACTAAAAAAGAATACCGCTGTTTTGTTGGGTATGCTTTTTATGGTGACTTTAAATTTTGGAACTTTTAACAATTTTTTCTTACCTTCCAAAACTTCCCTATCCAAAGAAGAATATTTAGATTTAAACGTTGCAGGAGGAGAAAGATTTTCAAATTATCAGTTTGAACATATTGGAAAAAGAAGTCTTCTTTGGGTCAATGACGCTGATACTAAAAATAATTCAAAGTCAGATAAATATCAAAACTTAATTATGCAAAAAAACAATTCATCAAGAGCTTATTGGCCTTGTCCTTTAAATATAAATCAAACAGAAAATGTGAGACTTGCTCATACTTTGCAAAAGTGGATTGACGATAATGATTATTTTAACTTAAGTTCATCTTTTAATAGACTATCTAATATTCCTTCAAGTTTTAAAAATGATTTTCTTGCTTTTGATGACTTATATGCAGATTCTATTTCGCACATGGAAGACGTGAAACTAAAGTATAGAGCAAACAAAAACTATTTTTTCAACAAAAATGGTTTTCAAAAGGGGAATAAAAAGGCACAATTAAAAAAGGGAATTCGGAATTTCAAAGGAGGAAAAGATTATGAAAATGGAACTTTCGGACCTAAAACAAACGGAAAATATTCAAAATTATTCGAAAATTTAAATCGCCGAGAAGATACCTTCTACATAGTTTCATTTAATACAGAACATATACTTTTGCCAGCATTTGCTTATAATAAAAGCTCAAGGCCTAAAATGTCTTTAATGTTACCTGATGGTGATTCCGTACTAAATGGTAAAATAACATTAATGCAAATAGATTGTGAAGTTGTTAATACCACAGTAGTTGACTTAAAAGAAGATTTAATCCCTCAAGGTATGCGAACCCCAACTGTTAAACTTAATGAGAATCCACAAAAAACCTTGATTCCCGATATTAATAAAAACTTGACTGAAAATCGTAATAAAAATTTCAAAGCAAAAGCATTTCAAAATATTTACATGACTGTTTTATCGAAACCAACAATTGAACCCGACACGAAAAGCTCCAATGAAAATGAGTATTCTTCTGAGGAAAAAAGGAAAAAATCAAATAAGCTATATAAGCCTTATTTCATGAATAATAATTAAATTTGATGTATTGTGCGTTTCATTAGTAGAGCAATATTAGTGTTATATAGAGTTTAACAGATTTTAATTTACTATTTATACAAGTGAAATTAAGATAGTTATTAGTTATTATAGGTCTAAGATTTAATCATTTTAAATCAAAAATTGTCGATCGTCGATAGATCTTAATGATTAAAAAAGCATTTAAAACAATTAAAAATTAAAAAAATAAGGCTTATTAACGAATTTTGAAAATTCATGAAATAGAAATGAAAAAAATTATTGTAAAAATTTAAAATTTTTAATAAAATTATTTATGTTCCATTACTTCGATGTCATTTTCAAATATTACAATACGCAGTAACTTAATGTTTATTTTTTAAAATTAAAATAGACAGGATGTGTAGTCTATTGTGTTTTCTTATCATTATACTTAACATTTGTGAAAATCATTCGATATTTTTGAGCATATAAAACTATACTACGATGTTTTTTGTGTACAAACTAAAAAGTTTTAAAGTATAATGTTTTGTACAGTAAACTAACGTAAATCGGCTTCTGCGTTGATTTCTGCGGCATTCTGCGTATTTAGAGTTGATGTATATTTTTAACTTGCCTCATAGTCTTTAACAATAAAGAGTATTTGAAGTTACATATCATATTTTAAATAATAATGTAATATAAATACCATATGCCAGAAAAGCATACAGTAAAATCTCTACTCAACGAACACTGTCGAACAACTAGAACATTTCTTTTGGCTTTGAATACCTTTTATTTATGTATGTATGTATGTGTGTATTATGCAATATCTGTTTCCTGAACAAAACTTATCAAATTTTGGGCGGGGTTAATTTTGTAAAGACTTTACTGTTTTCAAATTCGTTGCCGTTAGGAGATAAAATTGATGATCTATATACACTTCTACAAATACTTCAGTATTTCTATAAAAATTGTTACGTATTCAATCTGTTTGAAAATTGAACGACATAAACTGCATTCAAACATAAATCGAAGAAAGTTCAAAATAAAAATACCATATAACAAGAACGTTTGATGATAATCATAATTGTTTGATTGATCATGACTTATTTAGATCTATATACACTTCTACAAATACTTGAATAGATGTACAAAAAAAACGATCAAAAACGCTTTCAATTATTATCAAACGCAAATCAAACGTAAACATAAATGACAAAATTATCAAATCTCCAAATCAAACATTTCTTTCATGCCCAGTCATATATTTTTACGATAACGAAAATGTCATATATAATATTACTTAATGCGATTCTAGTGGTATATACTTATGTAAAGCTCAATTGTAAAATAAAAATGATTACTTACAATACAAACACTTCAAATTATGTTTACCCATTATTATAATTGTTCATATTTACATATGTATGTATAAACATAACGACACCCATTTATGTTAAAGTTTAAAAATTCACTTGCTTCACTAGGCCCCGAAAATTAAATTTTGCGTGGAAGTTAACAAAGTAGTTGAAAAGGTTCATAACTATTAACACAGGTATGTGTTTCACATGTAACTAATGTGAAATTTGATAAAATAACAGAAACATGTATGTATGTATTCCAAAACTTGCTTTAATTAACGACCCATTAATGTCCTTCCATTAAACAGATTACCAAACAAAATTTATCAAAAACTTTATTTTCAAAATTGATTATTTTAATATTTTAAGCAAATACAAAAATTATGCTGTTTTGGCTATAACCCAAACTTTTCCATAGCGTTCTGGTTGATCAAGACTATCCACTATAAATTTAGCAAGATTGACCTTTGGAACTGTACGACCTGGTGATTTGTTTTCAGTAATTTCAAGTTCTGTATATATGAGGAGAGAGTTCAAGGTTCATGAGATATATGAGGAGGTAATATGGCCGCAAAGTCTAAACCAGAGTTTTTAGTAATTTCAAGAATTTTCTTATGCTCGTTATTAATGTATTCAAATTGTTTTGGAACTTTGTACTCCCAAAAAAGAAATGAAGACATTATTACTGAAAATTTCTTTAGGTTTAATGTTTTCATTGCCTCAACAACATTTTGAGTTCCGGTTGACATTTCCGTAGTTGGCTCCAAATTATTTCGGGTTCCTAAAATAACGCACACTCCTTCAACACCATTAAGCAAATTTTTAACGTTATCCAATTTTGTAGCATCCCCTTCCACAAGTTCTATTTCTTGTTTTGTTTTAAATGCCTCTGGCACGGTACTTAAGTTCCTGTACATTAAACGAACTTTAAATCCTAATATAAAATATGAAGCGCTTATAATTATTTCTATAGGAGTTAACTGAAAATTTTTTAGTGAGTTAGTTTCAACCTTTTTTGACAGAATAGTCACAACACAGCAATTTTATTCATTTTTCGTTATTCCAGATTATTGAATTTAAGTTAGACATTCTAAATGACAAAAAACAGGCTTTCTTCTTCGCTTATGTATTTTTAAATTCTGACTGAGTTGCTGACCACCGCATTGGTCCTGCTTTTACAGTAACAATGAATTTATTTCTGTTTGATCATTTGAGAACTAATACGTAATACATGCTAAAATAAAGTAAGCGGATTTACAAATATTTTTTAATTATAATAATTAAAAAGCAACAAAATACTGCACAAAACTACTGAAAATATTCATGTACATAAATGTATGCGAATGATTTTGTTATGTGTTAACAAATAAAAAATGTTTTTCTGCTTTAATAAGTAATGCTAAATTTAACAAAATTCTAGTTTACATGGCAATCCTCAATTGAATGTAAATTAGTGTGCCAGCCATACCAATAACTGGTATGAAATATACTCAACTTAATTAAAAAAAAAACTTAAATTTGAGTAAAATTTTTATATGTACATATGAATGTGTTAATATAGCAATAATTAAAATATACACAAGTAAAGAATCGAGATTTCGGTTATAAATTTTATGAGCATTTTTGATTAGGCCAAAGATTTTAAAAATCAGATTGTAAAGTAATTTTACATAAAAGTAGTTATGAGCATAATAATATGATTAAAATAAATTAATGTACTCGTATGCATGTATGTGCAAAAGTGTGAGTAGATTTGTTGGATATTGTGTTGTTGTGTTGGAAAATAAAGGCACGTATATATGTATGCACTTATGTCATGTAAATATCATTTTTATTTCTATCGACTTTAATCTGATCCTTAAAATATTTTTTATTTTTTTTAATTATATAGGTATTATACACATATGTATGCACATATTTAAAATTAAATTAATGTAGTAATGCAAGTAAGCAAAGAAACTTTGTAGTAGTTTTAATGCACATTTATGCAATAAATACGAATATACCTAATTGTATATTGGTTATGCTATCGTTATTGGGCCCCCTTTCATAAAGATAAATATCGGATCCTGTTCCCACCATTTAAGCAAATTATATTAAAGTACAAAGTATAGGAAATCTATATTCATCATGACTATATAAATCATGACTCAACTTCTTTGCTATGATCACCATACATACTTATACACACATTAATTTGTATCGTAATTATTAAACTTTCTCATTAAATTATGTTCAATTTGTTTAATAACGATTTTCTCAACAAGGTGCCACAGAATCTATGAATTTCTATCTTCATTGTAGCAATAATTGTGGCTTTGTTATCTAGACACCAAGCGCTTTACAATGCTACTATTAAAATATCGCCATACATATAAGAGTTTACGGCTATATTTGAGAAATTTTTAAAATCATCTAGCCCTAGCTTAATACTGTTTATAAAACAGAAAAGGACTGGTATAACGAATTTGTATTATCGGATTTTCAAATTAGAATAATAGTTAAGTCTTAGACTTAGATAGACAAGAAATTTAGTTTTGCAACCGTTTGATTGCTTATTTGTATTCCATAGGTACACACATGCAACCATTTGAATGATCACATGCAAGTAAGCAATCAAACAGTGTCTAATTGTCGCTTAGATTTGTGCGCAACCATTTTACAATCAAGCCAGAGCCCTTACTCTAATTTTATTCTGTATGAGAAAATTTAAAGTGCATAATGTATGTAATCGAATCAAACTTGTAATTGAATTTGTCAATTTTTTTTTCTAAATTAAACCATTTTGCTAAATTTTCATGTAATTAAAAATTATTAAAGACATTAATTCTAGTATGTATGTACATACATATGTGTATAAACAATAACTATAGATTATGTTCATGCACAGCATATATACACTTACATATTATTAAGTGTGTACATAAATATACATACATATAATATACAACTTCATATACATAGGGTCCGTTCGTTGCTTAATATTAGAATAACTTGAGTTTTGGCTAGAGTAGAGAAATACAATATACAGAACTAGTCCAAATCACTTTCGATCATTCATACAAATGTATATATTATTATATATTATATGGATATGTATACTTGCAAACAAACTGCATTAGAGTTTAAGTACGGAAAAATTAATTTTCCTACAAATACGAATATACTTTAAATATTTTTATTTTCATTTACGTTGTTATCACAAAACTTGCTTCTTTTATATAATAAATAATTTTCAAATAATATGATTTTTAAAGCAATTTAAAAAAAAACAAAATTCACTCAAAAATTAAATAAAGAATGGTTAATTTTCTAATAAATGTTAAAAAAAAACTCACTCATAATCCACACACAAATTCAAAGAGTAAGTTTTCGCTTTTATGTTCATATAAAATATAATCTTTTCCATTTTCATATTATTTTTACGTACATTATAATATTATTGTGTTATATGTATATGTAATAAACTGGTATATCTTATTATAATTTTTATATTACATTTGTATAAAAATAATTTGAACACACATTAACAGTACGTGAAAATATTAATTTCTGGCGCAATTTTATTTATCTTATAATAAAGTGATAATAAAATATAAAAATGAATTTGTATGTATGCGGAATAAAAATAAAGATTTGTTTTTGTATGTAATTGAAAGTTTAAGTTAAACAATTAATGTTACTAGCCAGTGCGGCCAGTATATTTTTTTTTTCAACACACCTGTGGAATAACTTGAAATTCCACCTGAATACCTTGAACAACTTTTCATATGATTGTTTCTTGTTTATAATTTTTTTTTATCATATAAATGATCATTATTAATTACAAATAGAATGCACTATTAATTTAATTTAGTTTCGTCTGTCAATAATTTACTGTTCGTAATAGGTATATGGTTATATTATAATACACATCATATTATAAAATGTTAATACTACATGCATATATGTACATAATATATTGTTTTATTTTCAGAATCTTAGAAATGGATTATTAAACTGAAATAGAATAAATTTTATTCGAATTATTTCTTGATTTTTGATCTATTATTATTTTTATGATCGAATTATTTCTTAATTTTGATTATTAAAATCAAAAATTTTATAAGTTGAAGTCGCGATTGCCAATGTCCGCTGAGAATAGGATTTAAGTATCTGGTACAGAAAATTTAATTTTGAATATTTATTAGAATTAGGGGTTGCCCATTGTTTTTTTTTGTAAACAGAGTACCTATATTGCGTTTCTATAGACCTCATAAAAGAATGGGGAAATTGTTAAATAAAGAGAATACATTCAAATATTTACTTGGATTTATGAAAAGAAAAAAATTTATAAAATTAAATTTTTTAAGAAATGTTTTCAAAATAGAAAGCAGTTAAGTATTACTTTGATTAAAACAATTTGACGACAGTAAATAATAGAAATTCTATTTTCATCAGAGTTCTGTCAGATTTCTTAAAATTAAGCCTGCTGCAATTAATTTTTACGGGGGTTTTGAACAGTAATCAGCCGTTTTTAGTTAAATTGTGACGTTAGATCTGAGTTTCATCAAATAATTTTTAGTCTAACAACTAAAACAATGATAAGTAACTGAAAGACTGTCATCGGACTTTGTCGTAATAAATATACATTATAATTAGTTTTTGTATCTTTTCTTATATTGGCGTATATGTGATATTGCGTTATATTGTCGTATATACATTTTTAAATATTAAATTATTATTTATTTTATATTCTATTATCAATAAATTTTTAACAATATTCTTAGTACTTTTTATAACGTTTAATAAAAATATTATACAAGTTAATTCACTGAATGATTGCAAAATATGCTAAATAAGTCAAAAACTTAAAAATTCGAGGTAGTTAAAAAAGTGCTGATCAAAATGATTTCGAGTATATTTTTTTTCCATTTTATATATACATAAGTAGTTAATATACATAAAAATAATAAAAATGAGAAAAACAAAAAAAAAAAAACAACAGTAGAAATAAAACAGAAAAAAAAGGAAAAAAAAATACTAGATTAAGCATTTTTTTTATGTTAACATGCGCATGTGTGTGTAAAATTTCAATTTCTACTTTTGTAAGTTTTAAGCAGAGGATTGTCAGCCAGTCAGCAGAGTTTCAGTTTCTTATAAGTTTTGATTCATTTTCGATGTCTTGCTAAAGAAAATTTTTATTTATTTAAATATTTTTTTTTCTCTTTTTATTTTTATATGATATTTTTTTTTTGTTGTGTTGCGATACAACATCCAAGAATACAAATAAGATTTTTTTTTTTAAATAAATTTAATATTTTTTTTTTTAATTTTTTGATAACATTAACAAAAGTTTCGAATATTTTTATATTGCAATTTTTATAATATAAAATAAGTGAATAATTATATAAAATGTTTACTTATACAATTGATTTTAAAACAAATGAAATTTATTAAATTTAATATTGTAAAGCAACAAAAAAAAAGAATATGTAATACATACATACATCCATATTATTGAAATTGAATAAAAAATTAAAAAGTGATTTTTCTTTAATGAAAATTTTATTTAATAAAATATAATAATTACATATAAAGTAATATAAAAGTGCAATAAAATTATAATAAATTAATAAATTAAAATTTGTGAGTAAACACACACAAATATATATTAATAACATACATATTTATAGGCTTAAAAAGGTATATATATATGTAATAATATATTATATATATTTGGTATAAAATAAATGGAGAAAAAATTATGGAAAGTGAAAAATAGCCATATATAATATGTATGTACCTATATATGTATATAGTACGTATTCGTGCCTATAGTAAATGTACTTAATACATGTGTATTCACTAACTACTTACATAGGTTTTAAAATTAATATTGTGAATGAATAGATTAACAATTTGAATTTTCATTTCTTGATTTTCGTTTTTCTATTTTCTTCTTGTTTTTTTTTTTTTTTACATTATAAAAGTAAGAGACTTAATAATTTTGGCTACCAAATATTAGGTATTCGAATTCAAAACAAAATTTATGTATTTAAGTGACCACATACATTACAAATATACTTACATATAATATGTTTAAATTATATTCACAAAATTTTTGGAAAATATACATATTTAATTAATATTTTAATTATATATATATATATATACATAAATGTATAAAAAATCAATAAAAAAAAATTCAATGAATATTCAATAAAAAAAAAAAATTTAAAAACAAATTATAAAAGTATTTGTATCTACATTTATTATGTGTGTATGTGAATGTGCCTAAGATATTTCGAAATTTGGAAATAAAAAATTTATCTTTTTACACACAAACTGAGCTATTTACTAATATTTAAAATATATCCATACATACATTCATACAAATTTTTACCTTTATTTATTTTTTTATTGGAATTTGGAAATAAAAATCAAGTTAAAAAAAATAAAATTAATACGAAACTATTATAATTTTATATACATAGCTATTAACACACAAACATACATAAATACAATATTCATTTGTTTTTGTTATTTTTAATTTTCATTTTTATTTCTATATACATATTTATTATATATGTATGTACATATGTATATGTGCTTCTGATAGAAATGTTTATTCATATAATATTATACACTATAATAATATATTAGAAAATAATATAGGAATGTTTATTGTGTAGATTTGTGTTTGATCAATTGATTAAAGCATTGGAAAAAATGTAAGTTGATTATTTATTTAAATTTTTGTTTATTAAGATTTTTTTATGCTTTTCTGTTTAATAAAAAAAAAAAATAAAAATATTTTTTTGTTATTTTATAAATTTTTTAAATATGAATATTTTTTTCTAAATATTTTTATATTAAACACATTGATATTTAGCCTGTGATTGCGTGATTAAAAAATTTTATTAGGCTCTCTACTCTAGCCCTACGAGATACATAGTTAATTTTCCATTAATGTTATATATAAGTAACTGTGTGTGTATGCTTGCATTTTTAAATGCATACTAGGTACCATACATACATATTTAGATTAGGTATAATAAAATTTCTTTTTCGAAATTTTTCCGTACATAATGCATTACATATAGATTCAAAATGAGCAGCTTATTATTATACATTCTTATATTTTAGCATAATTTATACATAAAGTATACATAATCATATGTAGGTATGTCAATTTTGATTTTAAAATGTAAAAGTAGCTAATACAAAACGAAATTCGAATATATTGTAAATTTTTTGTTTTCATATGTCATGCATACATTTTTTATTACTTCCCTTTATTTATTAAAAATAATATATACTTATGTATGTACATACATAGGTACATAAGTATATGATACGTATCAGAATTTTATTTACAGGCTTTCTTTTATTTTAGAAGATATATTTAACGCTCCTATTCCCTTAATACTCCTTAATATTCGAATTTGTAATTTAAATTTTATTCTCGTATGAAAGATTTTCGACACAGAAAAGCTATTTCTACTATTTACATATGAAGCTTTAAAAGTTAGTTTAATAAAATATTTATTTAATTTATATTATCAAAATTCACATTTTCTATAGGTAAATTTAATTCTATTCTAATTAACACAAAACATTGCACAGTTTCCATTTTAAGTGCGCATGAAAATTCAGCTTTGCAGAAAAGTATTCTTAAATTTAAATTCTACTTATACCTAAGTATAGTTTAAAAAATTCTGATTGGATACACTTAAATTATTATTATTTATTGTGTAGTATAATTATTGTTATTGTGTAGTACATTTTTATTAATAATATAGGTAATATTAATATAATATTAATTAGGTAATATTAATATAATATATATTTACAAATGCTACATGCGCACAGATTCCTTGGTGATATACTAATTTTAAAAAAACAGCATGTCCTAATCAAGGAATAGAATGCCTTGTAATAAAATCATACCAAAATAGAAAAATTCGATGCAGTTCTCTTAAAATTTTTAAATCATTTCCTAATTTTAATTCAGTTAAACCTCGCTAAAAGCATTTTTTATACCAAAATTAAAGTAAATTTTCGGACTTTAAGCGAAGAATTATTGTATATGATAAGAATTATAAATTTATCTTTATACTATGCCTGCTTATTTTCAATTTTTTATATAAACAATTTCAATATCAATCGTTTACATAATATGAAAAAATTTTTAAAATAGTTTAACTGCGCCACATATTAATATAGCTGAAAAAAGAAACTTTTGTACCCCATACCTTCTATTCATATGCCTTTATAGAAACAGACTTAATTGTTAAGTATAAAATAAAACTCAGTTCATAAACCTTTTGTCATAAACACACTAAGTAATATTAAATTTAAATTATGTTTCATTTCAGCTTAAAATTTTAAATCTTATTTATGAATCTATATACATACATAAGTATAATGAAAGAATCATTTTGTTATACTTCCATACATATACCGACATTTTTTTTCGAATTTCCACAAAACCATAGTAATTTAAAAAATGCCATATGCTATAGGATAAGTGTTTCTTATCTAAATTTAAATCTGTGTGCCTCTTGTTTTATTGTACTGAACCCCGAACCAATATTATATTAACAAAGAAATACATTCTGAATTATGAATTAAATAAAAGGAATGTGTTAAAACAGGTACATTTTATGGCTTTCAATAATAAGATTATGAACAAAGTATGCGTAAATATGTACGTACACGTACTTATATTTACATACACTCACCTATACATGCCTTTCTTTTTATTATTTTAAATCGTACAGTGATAGTTGTTTTAATATGCATGATGAGAATCGTAAATTTTTGTAAACATTGGTATTTAAAAACTAAATTTTTATTAAATAAAAGACATAAGATCTTTAAAATTATAATTTGATTTTAGCTGCATTTCATTTTTATATTACCTACAACACTTACATTTAGGAAGTGAACCTTTAAGAACTGAACTTTTTCTGCGGTTATTTTAGTGATTGTTTATCTATGGTTGCCTTTGAATTAGAATTTGTCTAAGAAAGACATACATTTGTAAATATATGAAATTTGTCAGTTAAATCGTACGACGAGCGTCCAGAGAAAATCAAGTGCTCGAAACTTGATTTTTACTATAGACCGAATTTACTTATATTATTGCACATATTAAGTATATAGATAAATAACAAACCAATTTGTTGAAATTGAACACATATGTATTTCAACTTTTCTTTTTAAAACAATTTAAATAATAAATGTTTCGAGAATAAGTATCACAGTTCGAAATGTGAACTTTTATTATCAAAGCCGATATTGCATTTTTGACCATATCTAAGAAACTAATCTATATTCAAAGCTTGTTTGCTAATGAGGCTAACTGACGAAATTTTTAGGGAAATTTGATCGCAGAATATCTAAAAATTTATTAAGAGCATTTTAATTAATATGCCTAGAAATATATATTTATTTATATGCCTATATTAATTAAAATGTTACAACCTTTTGTTAGAATTTGAAACATTTTATAGGGCAATTTCATGTTATTTAGTGCTACTTTGCAGTCGATTATGTGTGGATGAAATAAGTTTTTGTGATTTAAAGAGATATCAAACAATGATTTAGATGAACTGTAATATAGCAATAATATAACGTTTGAGTTTCACTTAAGGATTGCACGACGTTCTACATAAATAAACCAACATTTTCAACTATAGCATTCAATAAAAAATTAAAAGGAGTCGTTGCACATATTTATTCCGATAGATGGCTTTATATTGCTTTATAGAAAGTAATTCTCAAATTCTTAACATTTTTATTTACTTACTTATTATTTTATATTTTTTTTTTACTTTTATATAAGTAACGAAATTTGCATGCTGAATAGCGTTCTATTTGAAAAAAGCGACCAATAATTTCGCTACTTTGACATATCTAATGTTTTGAAAACTAAATGTCATTTTAATGTTATTCGAATTTTTATTTTATGTAAGCATTTATTTTTTTTGTTTCTGGGGTAGTTAGTCAAAAATTAGTCAAGAACTAATTTTACTGTTTCCTGTTTTTCATTTGGTCACCGCATATAATGTTCATTTTAATTAAGCTATTATTTTTTTAAAATATGAGTGTAGTATAAGTACCTATGTACATATTATAAATATTAAAATATATAGGTATGTACATATTTAATAATGTAAATCTTATTATCTACATATTAAATAAATCTGATTTAAAGTACAATAGAATTAGCACAATAATTATGTTAAACAACGTATGTATGTATGTACATATGAATGTGTATATGCAGAAACCTTCCTACATTTTGTCATACTTAAGTATAAAAAAAATTAATTCTATTATGACCTTGAAAAATTTTAATTAAATTAATTTAGCGGTTGATATACGTAATGCTACTTACTTATGTACTTTTTTTTTACATAGGAAAATAAATTGCTTTTTTCTTCGTATTTTTTTGCACAGATTTAAATACAAAAAAAAATGATAAATAAAGTTTCTATTTTTCGTCATATTTAATTAAGGAACAAAAAAAAGCAGAAAATATTTTTTTGTTTTTTGCGATCTTGGGCCTTTTTATATTTCCTAATACGAGTAGGAAAATTTTATAAACTAGAAAAAAATGCCTGTTAAAGGAAATTGTACATACTTAGTTGCTGTTTCTTTTTATATAAGAAAATAAATTAATGTAATTTATTCAATGCAAGTAGGCTTTTTTTTTAAATATTCAATCATTATTTAATTGCATTTTTTACAAATTCAGTTCTAATTCTAATATAGATTCGATTGGGAAGCACAGTCTAATGTGTCGCATAAAATTAATCAATAAGTATATTCGATAATAAATTTAATTAAAATTTGGAAATTACTTATCAATATTGGAAAAATAAGATTAAAAAGAAATAAGTAAATATCCACTCTCAAAATATTGGTATGTATAATTGTATAATATGTATATTAATTGTGTTATAATAAAAGTGAACAATGTATGTAAGCACCTTTAGTAAATCCAATAGTGTTACATACTTATATTTACTTTTAGTTCAGCAGATCAGTAATTTTTTTGTACATACATAATAAAATCAATTTGTTTTGCCAATATACATATATATACGTATATATGTATGTTTATATGTACGTAAATATATATATTATATGTGATTATAGAATGATAGAATGATATTGGCCTTTAATTGGAAGTGATATACTTAGATTATGTCACTTAAATGTTTATTTGTATTGTATAAGTATGACAAAAAGATTATAGAAATATATTAATTAATTTTTTAAAGGTCACAAATCGCTTTAGGCTTTTAAAACAGTGTAATTTTCATAATTTAATAAAATAATAGAATTTCAGTGTCACAATTATTATACTCGTAATTTTAAACAATTTTTTAAAATTATTAAATATAAGTTTTATTTGCATATTATTATTTTTGACTAAGTACAGCAATATTGTTATATTTACCGGGTTAAAAAATGTTTCTATTAAATTTTAGTAAAATTTCAAAAAAAACAAGGTTATGATTGCAATAATTAAGTAATTGAATTATTTAGATTTGTAAATAATAAAAATATTTTGAATTGTTTGCTAATAATTCCACTGTTTGCAATTATTTCAAGCTAAATAAATTGGTTTTAAAATAGAAAATTAAGAGATCAAAAAAGCATATTAAAAATTTTTAACTTAACTCAAATTTTAAACGAAAAAGGTTTCATTTTTCCG